AAAGCAAAAGGTGCAATATTGTCCAAGAGTCTGCCGCCAACATCCGGGGCTGCTAAGCAGCATTCCTACAGAGTATACCATCAGGTAATTCAGGACATCATCAATTCATCTTCAATTTTTTTCTTAACATTAATATGAACAGTTGAAATGATACAATGTTAACAATTAAATTAATTATAATTATAGATTTAGACTTGGCTTGGCAAGCAACCTGATGCTACTGTTTGGGGATGGCAGAGAAACGGAAAACATCTTCTACCTATTTTGACATAAGAACCAACTACGCCACAAGAGGTTCTATGTGTTACACGGTAAATTCGTATGTGGTTTAAATATCATTAAAATAATGTTTGTTTTATTAGTATAATAATAGATATAACAACTTTTCATAATGTATGTTTGTTAATCTTAAAAAAAACCCTGTTTTTTAAATTCTCAGATGCAACTGTACACGTGGATGTGAAAGTCGCTCATGCACATGCATAGCCTGTGGTCACTGTAAAGGCATAAGCTGTAGTAATTCAGGACGTCCTGATCTTGAATATTAAAGATTATTGCAATTGTTACTTATGTAAAGGTTTAGATGAACTTTGGGAAATCTTAAATTACGAGTCAAACAAGGTTAAATATAGTATTTTCGTTATTTTTTAAAATGCAGGTCTGTATTACCGTACTTTGTTCAGCCCTAATTTGCATATTTGAAGTCATTTACATGTAAAGAGAGCAGATGGCCGGGGTGTGATTTCTAACATTATTTTCTTATATATTTTGTTTACTTTTTATAAAGTTTTAGAACTAAAATGAAGTCTCTACGGACAGTAATCGCGGATATATCGACTTCTCGTGAAAATAAAGTCAAAGGTCAAATACGGCATTTCCTGTCATTTTAGGACAAAAAGTTCTATTAGAGCGAATACAAACATACATATTCTGAACAATTTGCAAAAAAAGTAACTCTCTACAACCAGTGGTTGCAGAGTTATGGATACCTTATAATTTCACATCTAATTTGCCTATTTAAGCTTATTTAAATGTGAACAAAGCAGGTGGCTGGGATATAATTTATAAAATGTTATTCTGATATGAATGTATCCATTTTCTATAAAGTCTAGAGACTATTAATGAAGTCTCTACCAACAGTAGTCCGGCAGTCATGTAAATCCTGTGACAAATATGATATTACAGTGAAAATAAGGTCAAAGGTCAATTACGGCATTTCCGGTCATTTTTGGTCAAAAAGTTCCATTAGAAAACCTACATATTCTGAACAATTTTTTAAAAAAAGCAACTCTCTACAACCAGCGGTTGTCGAGTTACGGGTAGCCTATATTTTGACCCCTAATTTGCATATTTTAGCTAATTTGCATATGTTCCCGAGGTGTGACCGAGTTGTGATTTGTGGAATTTCGTCCCATCATCATATGTGTTCAATTAAAAAAAAACCTTTGTTTGCAATTTATTTGACTTTAAATGCTAGATTGCCTAGCCTAATATTTAAAATCTCATAATTTTTTGACAGGATTTTGTATACCGTGGTACAGTATGTGTTTGTTTATTTAAATTAAAAATGATGAAATAATTGTGGGTTACCACCACAAAAGATAAAAAAATGTGGTCATAAATAGGTAATTTAAAATCAATACTGTGTGACATCTTAATAATACATCTTCTCCGATTGTTATTAAATAATCAGAACAGTGACAAGATTCTATTAAATACCTTATATATGTATATAAATATACATACTATGCTATATATAAATTAAAATACTTTGCTGTGTAGTAGTATATAAATACAGTAATCTAGTTAAAAGATAAAATAATAATAATTTTGTAATATATAAATATGTGTCTCAACCACAGGTCTCTGTACTTGAGTTGGTAAGACCTACGCACGTTAAGAAAAAGGTGCTGAGTTCGAGTCCTGGTGGGGGCAAGGTTTCCTTTTCATTCTGATCATATTTTCCTCTTTGTACATTATTATATATGTTTAAATATTCATGTATATAGGGATATACCTTATTATAATGTATATCTAATAATATATATATATATATAAAGAAATTATTGTATAAAGTGAGTTTAATGACAATAAAAGTATATACAAATTAATTTAAAGCATATTAATCTCACTGAAAATTGTATATATATATATATATATATATATATATATATTTATTTATTGTCAGCGAGAGGTCGCAGGTTCGAATCCCGACGGAGGCATTTTATTACACAATGATTTTTCATAGGACTTAATTCGTTGAAAAGCTACAGGGTAGCCTACGATGTTCCATCATATCCTTATTAAACACTGTATATGTACCATTGATGATTTATATTATATATATATATATACATATACATATATACAT